TATTTTATTTGGTAAATAAATTGTTTCTGAAACAAGTTTAGAACTTCAGTATATTAATTATATATTATCTAATTTTTCATAAGTAGTATTCATACTCCAAAGTGAACAATTTGATTGATGCACTAAACCAAATTATAGTGTATTATAATATTATATTATATGAATTCACCCCAGAATTAATTTATACCTACAAAATCAAGTAAATCTAAATTAATTCAAACCTGTGTTGAATGTTATCAATAAATAATAGTTAACATTTTAGAAGAATATGAAAAATATACTTTAGATGCAAACTATAATGTTTTATTGGACATGTACTAAATTTAATAGTTTGTTAAAATAATGATTTAGTTTCACAATTACTATGGTAAAAAATCTTTYAAAAATTAAAAACCATTACCTATACTTATTGTACAATCAAAATCTGTATGTTTGGTCCTGWTTTATAATTAAATTTAGTATTGTGAAAATATTACAAATTTAAAACTAAATAATTATCTTTTAAAATCTATTAAAATAAAATAGTTACTAATATTTTTCATGTTACAAGCACTTATTGGAAAATAATATTTAAGTATTTAACTGTCATTTTTTCTCTTGAATATTATGGTGATGCCACGTGTATAAAAATGTACATAATTATATATACCTATTATAACTATACATTTTCAAAGCCAGTCAGTACTGAGTTGGTGGGCTGGTTCAAAAAKCTTAGTAGGCTTAAAACCATTGCATCAAATTAATATATCTTTTACGAATATTGATTTAATAATTTAATTTTAACCACACAAATTAAAAAAAATTTAAATTTGTATTTGTGTATTTTAGGATTGGAATATAAACAATGTTTCAAATGGAAGAACTATGTTACATAAAGCTTGTGATTACGGTCATTTGGATATCGTTGAATATTTAATTCAAAATGGTGCTGATATAAATGTAAGTTGTTAGTTGTTTAACCAGACTATATTGTTACTATTTTTTATTGTAAATCCTCTGATTTTTCATCTATTTTAATATGCACCAAACCCATTACCATTTTATTTATTTATCAACTCAATCATTGATTTTATAATGATACATAATAAAATAAAAGGTATGAATATATTAATATATAATATATAATGTATATATTAATATATATTCCATTTGATTAAGATTTATTACACAATAATCTTAGTCTTTATAARACACAATGTTTAAAGATTTTAAACACCGGAACGTATAACAATAAATGATTATACTATATAAAATAACTTGTACTTACTGTGACTAACAGATTTATCATCAACTAGTTGGGACCGCCAAAGCTATGAGTATAAAATTTGGTCAGTAGATTTGTTTTATAGTGCAAAAAACCACTATTAAAGGATTTTCCAAAATTCAGATTTTAAAAAGGTCCTCAAAGGTATATTTTGAGATTCACAGTGAAAATTGAAACTTGTTTTTACTTATAATATATGTAAAGTGWGGAAATTGGTTACTCTGACAGATCAGGTACAAGCATGCATAAAATTGTCGCGTTTACATAATATGGCCTTGATTGAAAATACAATTTCTGTAAACTAAACATATATTTGTAGCTTATATACTCATAAACTACTCAATTAAATTTGACAAAAATCTCTGAAATTGTTTTTAAAGATATCAAAAAAGTTTAGAAAGTAAGTAGTTTAAACCTAGTTTATATCCGATCCATGACTTTCGGTTGCTCCTCTAGGTCAAATTATTTTACAGAGGCTARGGTTCACTAACACTAATTTTTGCGTGAATTTAAATACACACAAATATAAGATACAACAATATAAGATTTGCTGCCAACATTGTACTTCAAACCACATCCAGGGGCTCTCWTTATTTAATATTTTGTATTATGAACATTTTATCCTCAAAAGGCAACACCACAATTATTTTGTAAAAATAAGAATTGACATAAATAAAATATATCTATGTTGGTGAGTTTTTACCATAATGTAATAATGCAATGATGTCTTTGTTATATAAATATAAATTATRTACTTCCTGTGCCATKAATTTACCATGTTTTCAGTTAAAAAACAGTAATATAATATGTAACATTGGTTAACTGAAAAAATACACTAAAAGCATTACTTTTTCGTGAGCTGGAAAAAGAATTAATGTGTGAGTTATTACCCTTTATTTACCTATAAGGGCTGAAAAAAGTTATAAACACGCTCTAAGTCTTAAGGAATTGATGTAACTTATATTGAAAATAGACAACAGTCCAATAGTTGGTCAACTGAAAAAATACACTAAATGAATTACTTTTTCGTGAGCTGAAAAAAGAATTAATGTGTGAGTTATTACCCTTTATTTACCTATAGGGGTTGAAAAAAAGTTATAAACACGTTTTAAGTCTTAAGGAATTTATGTAACTTTTATTGAAAATAGACAACAGTCCAAWAGTTTTTTAATTTATTAATATTATAGACAAGCTAAAATTAATTTATACATATATGTATGTATATGAGAGCATTTTGGTAATACAGTTCATCAATATTTATTTAAAAATATGACAATTATATAATCTATTATATACACTTATCACATAAATTGAATTTATTTTTAGAAAAAGGACAATTTTGGTATTACTCCATTGCTGTGTGCTCTATGGGAAAACCATTTCAAAGTTGCCAAGTATTTGATTGAAAAGGTAAGTTTAAATAAAATAAAATTGAATGGTTTTATTTTTATTAATTAAAAAAATATTTTAGGGAGCAATTACAAATTTATTAACACCACAAGGATTGAAGTATTATGAATGYATTGAAGATTCCGAAATGATTAACTTATTAAAACGACTAGAAACTCAATAGTTAATTTTATTCCTTTAATTCAACAGTTAAATAATTGAATAATTTATCAAAGTCTATATGTACCTCTAAAGTTATT